AGTTTTGTTAGCTGTCAGAGTTACACCATGGAATTATACGGACTTATCGTGAAAATTAATATTACTTTCCACAGTATACACATCCATTTGATTGTGTCTCACTTGATAATTAACCTGAAGTTTGATTAAATGTAAAAAAGGTAAAAATTCACTGTATCATCGAGAATTCCTACCTTACCTAAATAGCCAGCTTTTTAATACGAACTTGGTAAAACGTTAGAATAAAAAACAGCTTTTTCTCTTTACACATTTGCTGTAAGCCATCTTCAAAACGTTCTCTGTAGTTCCGTCACTTATACCTGGCTGATAATTTTTTGAACGATTCCAACAACTTAGAATTGGTACACATAGCAAAGCGTTTAAAAATGATTTTTTATGTCTAGTGGAAAAATAAAAATGCAATATACATACAAAGTTCTATAAATGTGCTGGAAAAGTTTATGTTCCTTTAGTCTCCTTTATCGTAGAGATCAGTTGTTTGACATGTTCAGGGAAGCCCTATGTAAAGGAAGGAGAGAAATGTCTTAATAAAAGACAGATTTGCTGTATCAAAATATGTGTGTACTTAATTATAATAGATTTAAAAATAACTGAAGCATTGGAGAGCTTACTACAAAATCTTAAGGACGTTCGGTAGTGTTAGCGGGGGGAAACATTTGCGCGGTGAGGGGAAACCAGCGATGAATGAAGATTTGGCAACGTCGTACGGGTCTTAAATGTGTGAGTGTTCATGTACACGCATCAGGTGTCTCTGCACACTCTACACTGTCTGCTCGTCTGCTGCGTGCTGCGTCGGTTACGACAGCGTTCGTGTATCAATGTTTTTGTGATAAAGCTGTAAGTGTTTGTTACATTTTCCGAATAGGAAAAATCATAAGCTTTCAGATCTTGGAAAAGACTTATTGATATTGTCTGTTGAAAACACTCATAATGCAATAGTTAATATTGATTTATTAGAAAAATTAACCGCTACATATCTTTCATGGGATGATATTTCAACGAACGTGTTTTCCGTAAAAGATGTTCTTGCGAAAATTCGAAGAATTTCTGATGAAAAAATGTATTCGCCAACTTTTTCCCCCATGTCGTCTATCATTCCCAAAACAGTGATTAAAAATCTAAGTCAAAATAAAGTAGATTTTAATATTATTGTTGATAAATTTATGGAAGGTAATGATGGTTTAAGATCGTTTCTAATAAATGGGCAAAGCCCTTTAATCAAAAGAGCTACCAGTGTAAATAAAATACTTGAATTTTTAAATGACTTGACAAGTCTCATACAGCATGGGATGTCAGATAAGTAGGATGATTTCTAAGATGAGTGATTCAAACTATGAGCATGTGATTTTGTAATGTGCAAAAAAATTGTATCTTAAGAAGAAATAATAAATTTGAAATAAAAAAAAAAAATAAATAGCGTGTTATTAACATTTATTGTTTTTTATGGGAAGGGGTGGGCGTTCTGTACATACACTCACGCACACACGTAAGCTTGTATTTTATGCGTGAATGCATAAATATCTACAATAATATTGAGATATTTACTGATCAACATCCTGGAACATTTTGAATTTCCCGCCACTTGCGACGTTGCCGTTGCGTTTCGGTCGAGCTTTTATTTAATTTTTTATTTATAAACGAATCAGACGATCGTCGCAAAACTTGGTATACATCAAATTAATAACATTATCTGTAACATATAAAAAAATTGGCCAAATTCATTGGCCCAATTTGCTTAAAACTGTGATTTAGTCAGTTCTCCCATAAGCGACAGTGTTAAAATGACTTAACTTTGAAATTCAATATCTCGAAAACGAAACAGAGGAACCTCTTTAAATTTTGACTGGTTAATTGTAACAACAATAAAAACGTCTGGTCAAAATTTCAGAAAAATTCGTTGGAAAATTCAATCACTACCGAACGTCCTTAAAGTGTAAGAAAACTATTTAACGATTTTATGTGATACCTAATCCTTATGAACAGAATGATGAATAAGTTTTCTATATTTAGTGAAATACATACACATGAAACGAATTTAATTGGTTTTTAGTAAGGTTATCTATTTTTAAAAATTGTTTTAAATTAATACCTGTCGAAAAAGTAATTGAACAAATTTTACATGAAAAAGTATTCTATATTTTAAGAAATGTAGAAAGTAAAATATACAAAAAATTAGTTGCTAGCATTGATAACATAGATAATGAAATGAACTGTAGCCTTGTATAACTGTCACCAACATTTTTGTGGAGACTTTGATTTCATACATCATTGTAATAATTTAAACAACTTACAAAAATTCAAACGACTTGAATATACTGCAGCATCAATCTCTTGTGGTTTACACTAATAGATTAGTTCAAGAGTACTATTTACTTATTTACTGTAATGTCAAATGGGTCTTCGCAGACAAGGAGCTGTGCTTCTAAATAGTTTTTAGTATTTCACGATTCGTTTGGAAGCCTACTGGAAAACAAGCCAATCAAAGGCACTGCGTTTGATGCTTTAAAGTTGTGTATCCATGCATCCGATGGTGATTGTTTTCACTAAAGTGTTAACTGAAAACTGTAGCAGTTCTTGCTAGAAATAATACTCCAATAGCTAACATTCATGTTTCTCGTAACTGATTGTGATTTTCAAACCTACACATTACACATGATTATTTGATAACATACTTAAAAGTATAGAGTCTAGCTGTGTTACTATTTCCATACCAGCATTATCAACCAATGGGGATCAAGAGAAGAGTAAGAGTAATTTATTATTAGGCTAGGGACCATAAGTTTATGATAGCCTTGGATCAGTGTACATAGCTGTTGAACAGCCTACAGCGTTTACAAGAACTAATTTGTCTTGTAATATATTTCGTACGAGACATATGCAACTTGAAACACAAAAGATAATAGTTAATAAAAATAATAGTGATAAAAATATAAATAAGTACAATGAAAACTAAGTCTAAGGCTAAGTAAGGCTGAGAAAGTTAAAACTAACAGTTTAAACGTATATTTTGTGCCTTGATGACTTTAAGGAGCCGATCCTTATTCCAAGTATTTAATGGTACGCGTAGCTAAGCGGATAGATGGTTCCACTCCGTAGCTGTCTCAACGGTGAACGAGTGCCTAAAGACGTCAATGGCAGCTCGCACTACTTGCAGTTCTAGAGCATCAGAGCTTTGTGGAACAAAAACATTAAAAGGCCTCGACTTGAACTTAAAAAGCTCAGCAAAATACAATAGAGAGCCAGTCTTCAACACACCCTCGAACTGGCACAGCATAATTTAAAGCCTTCTACTAAAGAAAGAGATAAGGTCATATTTTTTTTAGACTGGAGTGATGTGGTCGGATTTGCGCAGCCTGTCAATAAAACCCAAGACTGCGATCATATACCTACAGGTTTTGGTTTCTATATCAGCAGAAATCCCGTAGAGACACACAGTATTCCATGTATGGAAACACAGTAACAGTCTGGTATCACTAGGCAGCCTGTGACAAAAACGTCTAAGCCGAGCTAGTGCAGAGAAACAATTTCTGGCGATTAAGGTACTATGTGCCCTCCAAGTGAAAGAGCTGTCAAGTGTGACATCAAGCAATTGAACAATTTCACTTGGTTCAATTTTAATACCATTGAATGAGATGCCGGGCCGAATGCTACATATTTGCAGCCTATTAATTAGAAGAGAGAGTTACAAAACTATCCTCATCTTCTTTATTTTTCTTAGAGTTGGAAACTTCCACTTATAAGCTATATGATGGCTTGCTTGCTCTAGTATAATATGTGTATGAGCATTACCCTTGCAAGTATCGGTAATACCACGTTCCTAATCGTGTGATTTTTACATAACTTAGTTCGCGACTTAGTATTACATGATAAATCAAGTGAAATTTTTTTCCCAGGCATATAAGTAGAGGTAGGTACCAACTTAGAATCTAATGAGTCATCTATTCCTAGTAGAGGTTAGAACCAACTTTTATCACTAAGGCCCCGTTTATAGTGAGCGCAGCAACCGAAAGCAGTCAACAGCAAAAGTCGGTAAAAGTTAAGGAAAAGTAGGCAATCAGCGTGACTAAATGTTGCTTACGTTTCCAGAATTTTAGTTCGTGTTGCTAGCTGTTTCTGTCTTGTATACAGGTATACAGAGTGGTATCAACAAGGGATATCATTTGCTAGGAACATGAACTAAAAGTTAAAAAACTTGAACAAAAGAAGTAGCACTGATTGCCTACCTTCTCCTAACCTTTGCCGACTGCTTTCGGTTGCTGCGTTCACAACAAACGGGGCCTAAAATCTAACTAAATTTGAAAAGTCTATCTGTATGATATATGAAAAGCTTTAAAAGCGAAATATATGCAAAATTATGGGCCTACATATCATGTATATACTATGAAAAGTGCTGTGTGATTTTTACGATATGTCTGTACATGATGGCATCGGGTAATCCTAACACCAAAAAAATCTATGTTGGTTTGAATTTTTTAATACGCGAGTGGGCGATAAAACTTGAAGAAGGAGTCATTGACAATGATATTATATTTTTATGATTATGTTTATACTGTTCAAAATATTTTATTTCAAATTCAGCACTTTTTTTTCATTGACAAAATGAAGCCGATTTCTCAAAGGGTGTAGTAAACTACACTTTGACTCCTACTACCCCGAAAAGTCTGCTAGATTAAATTTAACCCCAAGAGAGTTAGTAAAAAAGCCGTACACTTATTATGCAATTAATTAAATAATAAATCTTTAAGATCTGTTCGTCATTCTCTTCTTCGGTTTAGTAAAAATTTATATGAAGTGAAACGTTTTTTAACTTTTCATTCCTTGCAGTGTTACGTACTTCTGTATGTCAACAGATAAAAGAATTAAAAGCTTTTTATTGTACAAGTCTTACTACTTAAGAATACTGAGAAAAAAAAATTAAATCTACTATTATTGTAAATTAACTTAAATTTTTTCAGAATATACACATGAAACGAATTTAATTGNGCAAAAAATTTTGGGAACGGAAATGTCGTTACTTATGATTCCCTACGTGTATCGTTAATGAACTTTACAAAGTTTAACAGTGCTGCAAAAAAAACTAAAGTACGTGGTATGGCTTTAAATATTTATAAAATTTATAAGATATTCCTAATTTATGTATTTTTAAGAGCTTCACGGTTCGAGAAATGTTTATGCGACAGCTGCTGCAGCTTAAAGGTATATCTGTGGACAAAGCCATGGCAATTACAAACGTGTATCCGACGCCGAAGACCTTGACTCACGCGTTCAAAAATGAAGACGACAATTTATTAGCAAATATTCCGCTTGGTACATCAAAATCTAGAATTGGACCAGTCATCAGTAGAAACTTGAGTCAGTTTTATTCAAGGCCTAGTTTTAATTGACAATACAAGTAAATGTTGTTTCTACATAAATCACATATATATCTTTCTTACAGAAGTAGGTTGATAAAGTAAAATGCAGGTTTGTATGTAGAAGTACTTGTAAATAATGTTCAAATAATAAAGATAAATCAGATTTCATAGAACTTTATACAACTAGTTTTAATACACTGGACAATAAAATAGTTCAAATTCCTTAATATTTTACTTGAACAGTTCTTTCGTATATTTACTTCCTTCACACATGTTTACATAAAAAGTGATTTGTTTATTGATGCGATAATCGTCGTCTTTATAAGCTTATAAATATAGAAATATTATTAGTCAACGCCCTAAAATATCCTAAAACTCTGTCATACAGTATCTAAAAATTTGTATATATCTTCCTATATTATATACATCGTTAAATGTTTAGGGCATTCCACATAACCCCCGCCGCCCCTCAAAAGACCTCTTGCCGTCCCCCCACTGTCCCTCTAATAATTAAGGTAAGATTTGTCTGATTTCTACGTTATTTTAACACATGTTTTTGGAACTACAAAAAGAATTTTAATTCCTACGAAAAAAATTACACCAAATTTTTTCAATGAAGTGTATGCAATATAGTTGTAATAAAAACATTACATACGCCATGTAACAGAGCATACGTACGGTAAAATTATACATTGGCTTATATGTGACTAAAAATTAAAAAAAATAATTCATTTACATGTACACAACTCATTACTCATATTTGAAGAAAATAATATCAAAAAAGTAATAAAAAATTATCAAACACCCCTTACAGCTTGGTTTGAATTAAATAAAGTAGATGATTTTGCAAAATCACTAAAATATGTTAACATTCCAGAACATTACATTTTTGACAATAAACTTAAAATTTGGAAAAAAAGGAAAATTACACTGAAAAATATTGCTATAGGTAGATTGAACATAGTATCTCCAAAAGATCATGAACGCTTTTTTTTAAAACTTATTTTAAATAAATTACATGGGGCTACAACGTTTGAAGACGTTAAAAAACATAATGGAATAACATATAAAAATTTCAGGGATACTGCAATTGCAATGGGTTTAATAGAACATGATTCTAAAATTGACAATATTTTTAAAGAAGCCATAACAATTATGTTTTTATACCAGTTAAGACGATTTTTTGCTTGGTTTTTGATTTCAGAAAACATTCAAGGAGATAAAATATGGAATGAATATAAAAAATATTTTACGGAAGACTTCGATAATGATAATAATAATTGTGCTCTTCTTCATATTAATCAAATTTTAGTATCGGAAGGTAAATCATGTGAGTCTTTTAGTTTACCGACACCAACCATTAGCAACTATATAAATAATTGCAATATTGAGGAAATATCTTTCAGTAAAAAAAGTTCGATATAATGTACACAAATTTAAATGAAGATCAAAGAAAAATTTTTAAAACTATTTTTGAACAAGATAAAAAAGTATATTTCATAGATGGTCCTGGTGGATCCGGAAAAACCTACTTATATAAGACACTCATTTATTACTTTATTTCTAGAGGTAAAAATATTTTGTCAATGGCTTGGACAGGAATTGCATCTGTATTACTACAAAAAGGTATGACCAGTCATAGAACTTTTCGTTTACCTCTAGACTTAGATAATATTGAAAGTGTATTTTTAAAATTTGAAACTGAAAAAAAAATTAAGGGAAGTTGATTTAATGATATGAGACGAGGCTACTATGATTCCGAAAATAGCTCTAGAAATCGTTGATAGAACGTTGAGAGACTTGTGTATTACAAAACTTTGCTTTGGTGATAAATTAATAGTATTAGGAGGAGATTTTCGACAAATCCTTCCAGTTATAAAAAACGGCAATAGAACTATAATAATAGAAGAAACTATTTAATCATCATTTTTATGGAACTTCTTCAATATTTTAAGATTACAAAATAATATCCGTTCTAGTAATAATGAATTTTAAAAATTATTGTTAAGAGTTGGAGTAGGGGACATAGAAACGTTTAACATTTCTAAATCCTGGATAACAGATGATGTGTGTACCAAAATATTTGGTAATTACAGCAACTGTTTTGACAGTAACGTGATACTTACTTCACATAATGAATATACTTTTTTTTTAAACAATAAGATTTTGAGTAAATAACATGGGGAAACTAAAACTTATTACAACATCGATACTGCAACATATAAAGGTGTTGATGAATCAGATGATAATATTTATATAAATTTTCCCGTAGAAATGTAAAACAGCATTCGTGAAGGCTTGCCACCTCATAAACTTAAATTAAAAATAGGTACAATAGTAAAGTTAATTCGAAATTTGAGTATATCAGACGGATTATGTAACGGTACACGATTGCGAATTACTATAGTACTGAAGTATAACGTAGAAGGCGAAATAGTAACGGGAGAAAAAATTGGTAGTAAAGTTTTCATTACAAGAATTACATTAAATACTGAAAATACTTTATCATTACCTTTTATTTTATATAGAAAACAATTCCCATTAGTTGTANTTATTTGTTATTTTCTTTATCTAGTTTTTTTTCAGTTATAACAAAATACCGCATATACCATGCTATCCGCAAAAGCACAGCATATACGCGTCCGCGCACAGTGTACTATATGAGGTTTTACACGTCATTCATTAACATGCTTCATTGAATGGTGTTTGGTGTCTCTTAAGAGAAAGATAGTAATAAGAAAATATATAATAAACAAACAAATAGCTAGAGACCATAAACCGCGCTCTGCTATCAATTTTGTTAAATAACGTTTAATGTCATTTAAGTTTGTTTTCAGCTTCAAACCAAAAACTGTGGACTACAGTCTCACGGTCCTTCACAGGCTGCGGGACAGCAGATAGTCCAACTATTTGCTTGTTTAAAAAAAAGGAAGGAAGAAGCAGAGTGTTGAATATAATATCCAAGTTAACTTACCTTTTTTTCCGCTAATTATTAATTCGGACGACCAATTCGGATGACTTGTACTTTCTCTTTCCGTTGGATTCATAATTATTTATTTTATAATAATTTAAATTCTTTTTCTAATAAGTTTTGTGTCACCTTATTTCACGTTACTTGTTTACATATAAAAGGAAACAGAGAAAAGACGGAACGTCTGGTTAATCTTTTAATATTAGTTATAAACGTCTGCACTTGATGANCCAATATATGTGTGTATATATATTATTTGGTTTCAAAATATTGTTAACTCCATATAAATTGGTTTTTAAACTTACTTAGTTGTAAAAATAATGATGTTTTACGCAACAACCCCCTATGAATTAACTATATGACTTTAAATGTCTTCTTGACGATAAAATAAATCATGGCGATAAGACAGCTTTGTCTAAAGATAGGTAAAGATGGTATGATCACGGTCAGGTTCCCCAAATGTAGTGTTGGAAGGCTGTGGGGGCCTCGAAAAAATTCGTAGGGGTCGGTGGAAGGGCCGCAGGGGGTAGGTGGGGGGGGGGGAAATGGGATGTTTTGAGAAAAAATACTATACAATATTTCCATGTGATTTGGTAGGAATGTGGTAATAGACTTTAACACATTAACAGGACTGGCAAAATGCAACGTTACAAAATGCTAACAAAAANGGGGGAATGTGGGATGTTTTGAGAAAAAATACTATACAATATTTCCATGTGATTTGGTAGGAATGTGGTAATAGACTTTAACACATTAACAGGACTGGCAAAATGCAACGTTACAAAATGCTAACAAAAAAAGTCAGCCCACCATAAACTTTATGCTTATAAAGAAACTAAGGGATCCAATAAATCGAAATACAATTGATTGTATTTGAGTTTAGCTGATTATAGTATTGTGCACTAATCTGTAACTATTTGATTAAAACATACATTGTTATTATCCCATAAAGCCATACGTGGTTGAGCCCCCTGGCTTGAATAAAGACTTATACTATACTTTTATACTATACATATAATATTTTGTGGGGGGTGGTATAACATCTTTGAA